CTTAAAATAAAGTCCTTTTTTATGTTTGTGTCCTGATTTATATTCCAACTTTAATAAAATTCCAGGAATTTGCAAGGACATCATCTTCACTACCCTCTTCTTTCTGTTCAGGCTTCAGCAGAGCACAGGACCTTATTATTTAGGGATTCTTTCTCACTCAATATTCTGTACTGAATCTGAAAGACAATGAATCACCTCTCTTTGTCCTAGCAAGTCCTTTCAAGTGACAAGGCCATTAATGGATTGTGATTCATAGGTAGCTATGGCACCAGGAATACAGGCCTTGGTTACCATATGTGGCTCTCAGCGCACCGTCCTCTTTCTCTTACACTGCCTCAGACAACTGTCTGTGCTGCTTCCCAGACAAGTAGCACAGAGAGCAGTGGTATGGCCCCTTACACACAGTAATAAACTCCTTACCCTCAGGATGAGGCTCAGATTTGATCTGCAGGTCAGAATTCTGGTACCCAGAATTCTGGTGATAGACTGTGAGAGTAGACACTGGGTCATCTCACCTTTCCTGGTGTATCCCAAAATAGTGAAGGAGGAGGAGTGCATTTTTAAAATTTTTCTCTTATTCTGTATATTTCAAATTAAATTTCTTTATTTTAATATATAAAGGGAAAATATTCAATGTTGAAGTTGGCATCAAATTTTAAACTGCAAATTAAAAGGGCTCTCTAGAATTTTGTGCAGGTAATAGTCTCTGATTTTGATGTGAACATTTCACCTAATCACAGGCCCTTTCTGTTTTTGGCATTTCTGTCACTGTCACTGATCTACATGCCACATGCCTATCCTAGAGGAGAAGAATGAAGCAGAGATGGGCAATGGTGGATCCCCAGAGCTCACCTTCTCACCCCATTCTGCTTCATCTGTCCCTGTTCTTACCAGTGGGCCACAGTGTTAGCAGCCCAGAAGCAGAGCAGAGCCTCACTTTGGGAAGTTAAACGGAAGCATTCTGATCAGTCAAGCAAAGTGAGTGATCAGGCATTGTTTCAAACTGACAAGTGAAGACCCTCCCTGGGGGACACTATGCAAATTCCTTATGGGTGCAAGCAAGTAGAAAGAAGTAAGAAATAGATAGGCCTCTTCTGTGAACCACGTGAGTTACAATTTTTTCCATGTTTGGAGGAATAGCAATAGGAAAAATGTCCACATGTTCTGCAGCAGCAGGCAGAAGGCACTCACTGTGGAAATGGAATCCCTAAGGGAGATACAGTGCACCCAGCCCTGCCCCTGAAGGTGGTTCCGCAGTCCAGTGCTATTGGTGTGTATGCAGGTCAGGCTGTGGAGTGGAGAGCCCACACTACTTGGAACATTCCATGCCCAAGAAGACAAAAAACCAGCTCTTACCTCACAAGATTTGATCTGCTGAGTCTTGTATGATTAATATTATAGTATGGAACTAGCAAACAGTTTCTGGTAACTACTGTTATCAAGAGCAATAGAAGCCTGTTAGAAACAAGGTGGGTGTAGTCTTTGCCTGGACCATGTGATTAAATACTAAAAGAGTCACTCATGTGAAAGGAGCTTGGCAGGTACAAAAGTTCTATCTTTTTCACCCACAGAGAATTATTCCTTAGTTAAGAGGACATGAAATATGGAGCAAGTAGTTTTTATACACTGGTGAGTATCCTGTCATAATCCTCACTTTCTCTCCATATCAGATTCATCAAAATAATTTGACAGGAAAATTTCCTGGAGATTATTGCACAAAAGAACTAGGGATAACTTTGCCTTCACTCTATTTTTCTTAAAAACATAGAAAAATTCTTTCTCTGCATACTCTTTCCTTTCATGGATGTTGGGCAACCACAGTCCTGAGTTCACAGAGCAATGGGAGATTCCATACTTTACCAGAGCCTGAATGAGTCCAGTGTTTACCATTTCAGGACAACATGATTCTATGCCTGACATTTTCCAGGGCCTCTATCCAAGGTGGTCATTAAGGAAAAAGTAGTGGTTCAGTGTTGCTCAGGGAGTTTCACTGCAGACCTCAGTGCGCAGTGTAGGGAGAAGGTAAGCCTGTGTTTTTTTCAGTTCAAAATTTTATCTGCATTTCTATGATTGGTGAGATAATCAACATACACAGTACGCACTGTGGCAACTTGGCTTATGGGAGAAAAAGTAAAAGGTACTTTTTCATGTTTTCCTTAAATATGATTAAAAGCAAAATAAAATGTAGATTTTTAATTTTGTGTGTCTGTGTGTTCTAAATAAAGAAGAAACCATGTTTACATGAATTTTCTAGACATTTAAGACATCCTATATTTGCTTAATTTGATTAAGTGCTAGTTAATGAAAGTCAATAAATTCATACTGATAAAAGGAGTAACAAAGATAAATAATATATTTAAACCACAATTTGAAGGAAACACTAACTTGTTAAAACTAAATTTACACAGATTTACTCATTTTCATACTCTTGTCTTTGGATCTGAGAGACTTCCTTAAATCATATGCTATTTTTCTCTTTCATATTATAGTATCTGAGTAGCCCACTGTGAAAACTGAGTTGAATTATGAGGTTAATATTTTATGGATCCAAAACAATATTGCAGAAAGTGTTCTACTAAAAGAACATAAAAGGTCAGTCAAACAGATTAAATGGAAAAATTAAAATATGTATTTTGTTTCACCAATAATAACTTTGATTTAATGGTAATGATTTGAGATCAGTTTAATAATTTATGTTGGACATGATAGTTCTTGAGATGCCAAGTATATCCACACCTCAACATTTTCTTAACTTTTTATACATCCTGTGTTTTGCATGCAATATATGTACTATACATTGTGTGTTAAATACAATTCACAATTCCCTGAGTATAATGTCTGGACAGAGTTTTGCTCTCTCTTATTTCTACTATATTTTATTCATATTTAACTTATTTTTGTTTTGGAGATGTCAGTAAGCTGTGACTCTGTTCTCTGCTTGCCCTTGAAAAATAAATTGCAGTAGTCTGCACTCCTTCCAAGGGTTGAATAATTCCTTTCCCCCACAGCCCTGACAATGTTTGTTATTGACTGATTTCTTGATGGCAGCCATCCTTCAAAGGGAAACAAAATGCTCAAAAGGAAAGAACAAGTGGCTTATGGAAAAGGAGAAAAGAAAAATCTAAAAGAGTTTATGTATATAGGTGTCTTATTTACTTTTCTCTCATTACTGGATCAAAATAATGACCCTCAAAACTAGGGAAGTAAAGATTCATGTAGCTTAGAGCTTTTGGAGGACTCAGTCCAATTTCAGCTGGCTCCAAGGCACAGTAGTGTGGCTGAGTGTCAATTATTCATGGCAGCAACAAACAGAAAGAGCAAAAAGGTAGAAAAGAGAAAGCCCTCCTCCTTCTCTCCTTTACATTGTATGCTAGTTACCTGGTCCTGGTGGGGTGCAGCAATGACACTGTTGAAAGCTAGAGAATTCAACAATCACAAATGCTAGACTCAACTGCCTCCTTAACTACATGAGGCTTTGGAGGGAAACCCAGACACAACCATAACAGTAGGTGTACAGATAAATAAGTGTGTATGTATACAAAATAGATAAATATACTACTAATCTCTGCAAGTTCATCTGAAAGAACAGTTTGCAATTTCATTGATTGCTTGATCCTTTTTTGTGATAAAATCTTAAAATCTGAACTACTTTTAAGCTAACAATGTGAAATATATTAACTAGTGTTTATTTTGTACTAATTTTTTGAAATTCTGTATCACTTTTACTCTTTTTTTGTTTGATATTAAGTTAAAGAAAAGATATCAAATTGTAAGTTTTCTTGAGAATTTACTCTGGTCTTGCCCTTCATGAGAGATATTTTCACTTGAGCAGCTCATCTGTAAGGTGATGTTACACAGATTTCAATGTGGATAAACCCTAAGCCATTAATTTTAGGAGAAAATATCCTTGACAATGTTGGTCTGCAGTCATTAGTTTCGAAATAGATCTTGTGTTTTTCTCCCTCCATTTCTCACCGTGCTTGGATCCCTGTTTTTAGTTCCTAGTTCTGTGAAGGATGCGTTTCAGTTTCCCTTTGGCTCACAATTCTGATCTTCAGGTTATATCAGGGTCCACAGGAATCAAGAATGAATTCTCAGCCTGTCTTGTAGCTGTACACTCACACATTTGATGGAAACTGGTTCTCAAGTGATTTCCGTGTTTCTCAGTAGATTCAGGATAAAGGCGGCTTTGGATTTCAGAGACACATTTTCAAACACAGTAAAAAAAATTCGCCTTAGAAGTTAACATCCTTTTGCATTTTTCTGTCTTTTTCTCATCCTTTTTCTCCCTTAATTCTCCACTCTTTTCTTTCTCTCTTTTATATCTTTTTTATCCTTATGTTTCAGCATGTCACAAGAGTTGTTAATGCAAGGTGGCAAGGCTGTGGCTTACATAAAACTAAATCATTTAAAATGCATTTTTTTATTTAAAACGAAGACCTTTTTGTGATGAAATCTAGTGGTTTTGCAATATTAGAGCTTCTAAGTTGACTTCTGGGTTCTTTCTGGTCACTGAAACACATGCTCTGCTACGGTTCTTTTGGTTCTTGATTTAACCAATTGCTTTCACAGTCAAGTAACCCTGAAATTTGCTTCCTTATTTGCTGATTCCTTTGCATAGGTCTCTCCTCCAATAGAGCTGCGCAAATCCTATTTAAAAAAAAAATCTTTGCAATGATTTTGACCTGCATTGCACAGTACGGGACAGCAAGATGGTGTCCCAGCCCTGAATCCTCCTGGCTCTATTGCTCTGGGTCTCTGGTGAGAAATGGCAAAGTTCCACCATCTGTTCAGAGTTACATCTTTTTTTTAAAGTTGAAATTAACTTTAAGAAGTACAAAAGAACGATTTTCTAATAACGCAACTACATGCCATTTCAAAATGTTCGAGACAATATTATAAATATTCAATTGCTTTATTTACATGAGAAAAATCTTGTATGTTTATGTACTTATTATCACTATTCATTCCTGATTTTAAGTATCTTTGGTGACATTGTGATGACCCAGTCTCATGGCTCATTGTTGGTGTATGACGTAGAGAATGCCACCATCCACTCCAAGTCCAGCCAGAGTCTTCTACACAGTGATTTCAATGAGAACTTCCTGTCATTCTATCAGCAGAAACCAGGGCAATCTCCCAAAGTGCTCATCTACTATGCATCCACCAGGGATCTGGGATCCCGGACGGGCTCATTTTCAGTGGATCGGGCACAGATTTCACTCTCACCATCAGCAGTGTTCAAGGTGAATATGGCAGATTATTACTGTCTGCAGCATTATAGTGCTCCTCCCTCAATGATTCAGCCCGAATATAAACTTTCTGTCAGGGCCTCCCCAACTGCTTACTCCCCATGTGGCCCAGGGCTTGATCACTTCCTCCTGCTGCCTGAGAGACTGTCTCTCCCTGATGTATGAGGAAGTCTGCTGTACTGAGCAGAAGATAAAGGAGCTCCTGGTCTCCCAGATGCTTTGATGTAGGAAGATATAGCTAAGACATTTTCATCAGTTTGTATTGTTTTATCACAATTGAAAAACTCAATGAATTGAAATTATCATTATTTTATAGTTGTATAAGACAGAAAACATCGCCAGACTCCAAAACTGAAATCATGATACTGTCAGTGCTTTCTATTTGTATGCTCTAGGGTGGATTTATCACTTCTCTTTCCTGTTTCTTGAGTTCCTTTCAACCCTTGACTGGTGGCCTTTTCTAAAATCTCCAGAGCGAGCAGCATTTCATTCATCTGGCACTTGTTCCATAGTATCATTTCTCTCTGCATATCCCCATCAGATTTTCAAATATGAACACTAACAAATGTACTGACTTATAATGATGAATATAATTTTGTGTTTAATATCAGGTGCAGTCTTCACATGAATTATCCATTTATTTTGGCATTTTTTTGGAGATAGGTTTACACTCTTGTAGTTTTGCCTGGCCTTGAACTTAATTGGCATCTCAGGCTGGCTTTGAAGTTGCAAGGATCCTCCTGCCTCAGCCTCTCCAGTGATGGAAACACAGGCATGCATCACCACTCCTGGCTCAATTTAGTTTTGCAGGTATAGAATATCTGATATTGCAGTCTGTGATCTTAAAATATTATCTATAAAGGAATTCAAATTGGGAGTTATTGCTGAAAGATACTATTTCCTGTCATTGCAATATTTTTGTTACTGAATTTTTAATTTTTTCCTTGATCCACTTTTCACTTTTTGTAGTGCTGGAAATAGTTGTCATGAACTTCTTAAAGGGCTTTTGTCACAAAATTCTCTATTTTTCCCTAAGTTTGGAAGAATATTTTTGTAAAATATTACAATGTGCATTGAAAGTTTTATTGTTTGGACTTGCTATACTCCTGAAAGCTCTCCTGGGTCTAAAATTTATAGTGACAAATGTGGTGTAACTCTGATAGGATTCTTCTTTGTAAGTTACTTGATACATCTGTCATGTCTTCTAGTGTTCTTTCTTTGTTTTGATTTTCTTAGATTTTTCCTTAAAGTGTTGTGCAGAACACTTTTCAGACCCTATTTATTTGAGGTTTTAAACATTATATTATCTGGATCTCCATTTCAGTGTCTATATTGGAAAATTTTCTGCAATAATTACAGAGAATTAATGTCTTATAGGTTTACTTTCTTTTCCAGCCTTTCATTGTCTTCTTGTTTTCCTAGCTTATGACTTTTAGAGTCTTCTATGAGCTCTCCAATCAACTTGTCATGCTTTCTTTTGAATTAAGGAGAATCTGAGTCATCCACTACATCATTTTTGTCCTCAACTTTTGGTATTTCATCTTCTGATTTGTCTGGTCTGCTGGCATGGCTTGCAGTTGTGTCTTTCATTCCAGAAGTTATTCTTTCCTCCTTTGGTATAACTATGAATACTTTCTAAGAAATTTAATTTTTATCTTACATTGTCTTAATTGAATTCATTGATCACTTTCTGGCTTCTTTAAGTGTGTTAAATATTTTGTTCATTAAAAGCGTTCCTCTGATTACAAAAATCCTCTTTGAGTTCATTGAATATTCTATTCATTTGCTTTTTTGATATCTTCAAACCTTTCACCACCTGGTTTCTGAGTTCTTTCTAGGACACACTTTGTCCACTTTATTTTCTGTCAGCTGTTGGGCAGCTATAATATTTTGAGGCATCTAATTACTTATTTCTCATTATTCCTGGGATTTTATGTTGAGTGTTGTATGATATTGGTCTAGAAAGACCTGCTGCTAGGGATCTTCAGGACTGAACTGCTAGCAGGGCACAGGTACTAGAAATATCTACCTGCAAAGAACCAGTCATATGTTGGGGTATATTGATGATCTGGTTTAGCAAGTTTTCTACTTTTACAATAATCCAAGAATACAAAAGATTAGAAATGACTGAGAAAAGATGATGAGGTACATGATAAAGGCATAAATAAATGTAAAAAGAAAAATTAAGAAAAAACAGGAGACTAAAAGAAAAACAGTATAATAGAAGAAAGAAGTCATTTTTGATACTATTTGTACATGCATATAGTGGTGGAGAAAGGGAGGGACATATAGGTAGAAAAGTAGAGCAGTCTTTGTGGAGATTCTAGCTAATTTATAAACTCAAAGAAAACTTATATTAAAATATCATATGACAAACTTTGATGAAGTAGATTTTGACAAGTCAATGCCAAATATTTTAGAAAACATTTTAAACTCATTTACACTTTTTTCATAAGTATAGGCCCCTCACATACACACTAAAGTAGAGAAAAACAGAAAGTTGCATTCTAATAATAGGTTCAATATTCAAAAAATACGAGGGAGGGTGAGGAGCGTGTGAGGGTGTAAGCAAAGGTGAAGGAGGTGAGACAGTGACAGTGGGGGAGACCTAAGTAGATCCTAAAAGAGGACACAGTGAAATGGAGCACAATTAGGGACCAGCAAGCACTATTTCACCAACACTGTGAAATAACTCTTTATTGTTAGAACCTGAGTATATTCTGTTGCAATACTATTGCATATTGAATACTCTTAGTTGTTTGTGGATAAAAGAGCAGAATAGGTAGAAAAGGAGAGGCAGAAAATAAGGACAAAGTAGGAGATGGAAGATCTGATGGAACAGAGAAGGTGTATGGTGGAAAATAATTCAGATAAGGAAAAGATGAGATTGAAGGTGAGAGGGGAGAAAAGAGCTGGAGAGAGAAAGCAATAGTTAAACCAGAATATCAGGCAGGATTGAATACCATTGAGAAGCAACATCTGAAGAAGCCACAGGTGAATTAACACACGGAGAGCTTCATAGGCAACAGCAGAACATTTGTATGCTTAGGGAGAGCCATGTCAACCCTCTACACACACACACACCCTAGAGAAACTACAAAGGCTCTAGTCCTTAGGAGTGTCTGCTGACTTCAGAACTCCAGCAGGTCTTCCCTGTTTCTGCCACTGACAGGTGGCAAACAAGTTCCCAGCAGGGATTCTGCTGCAGGCACTGCTCTTTGCTCCACTCAGTTTACCTCACTTAGCTTTCTGTGTTCTGTGTCCAAGTTCTACTCAGCCTGTCACCAAAAGCTGGTGCCTCACTGGTGCCCTACACTTAGGCAGAAGGTGCTTAGTCCACTTTTGTGTGCCATTGTGATTACTTTCTTCTGTGCCTTTTGTTCTTGCTGGCTTTCAATGTGGCCAGGAATTGAATGGCTTTTGTGGTCTGGCAGGAAGTGATCTCTCTAGACACAGTACTGGACTATGTTCTCCAAACTCGGTGATTGCTTGTCCAGGATGTTCATCTTTGGAGTCTCTCTCCAGCTTGAAAATGTAGTGTGTATGAGGCCTTTGCAGAAAGGGCCCTTTTGCATGTAATTTAGTAGCACTAAAGTTCTGCAGGAGTAAACAGTTGTGGGTGTAGAGAGCTCACTGTGAGGTACAGGGAAAGTGTTTGTTCTCTCAGAGCTTTCCATTATTTTCTGTGTACCCACTTGTCACAGTCACTACAAATTCCCCGTGGCTCTTTCTCACAGACTTCTCAGTGTGTGGTTCTGGGCTCCTAAGCATGATGGTAGCTTTTGTGTTTGTTCTTAGGAATACTCTGGTACTACCTCTGTCACTGCTATTTTCCACCCCCCCCCCCTGTGGCTTTCACTTGTCTTAGTGTCCTGATCTGAAGTGGGAAGTTGCAAGCCTGTGTGGCCAGCTTACTCAGGGGCCATGTCTCCAGGTTGGATGAGAGGACAGGAAGGGACTGGGCGATGGCTACTTCTCTGGGAAGACGTGAATCAGGAGGCTCTGATAAGTCACCACAGTTCCCTTGAGATGCCAGTGTCTGAAGAGCATATTCCTTTTTAAAGAAGAGAACATTGTGGCTTACTTCACTGTAGATAATTTGCCTCTCCCCTGCCAAATTATGGGGTCATTTACACCGAGATCCTTGTTGCTGTCCTGGAGATAAATCTCATAACATGTTGTTATTCTATGACTTGTTATGTAATAAGAGAAAGATAAGTTTAAATAAAAATATGATAGGCCTTTTGCAACATTTTCTTTTTATCCTTTATTTCTACTAAAGTCTTTTCCATGTATGTGCTTTTATTTTTATTCCAACTTTAATAACACCTCAGCAATTTGTAAATAAATCATGCTCATTGTCCTTTTTCTGTGCGCCTGAGCAAAGGTTCTTGTTACTTATAGTCTCTTCACACTCAGTCTTGTCACCTGACACTGCATAAATTGGGTCATTCTTGTGTTCTGCCATGTTTGTCATTCCAAGGCCTTTGCAAGCGACAAGGTCATTAATGGGTTCTTATGCACTCAGGAAACACAGATGTTAGTTAAAACTTGTAGCTCTCAGTGCACCAATGTGTTTCTATTACAAAACTTTCAGAAACCTGTCTTTGCTGTTCCCCAGGGAAGTAGCATCACATAAAGGCACTGATCCCCACAAGCAGAAAGGTCTTATTGGTGGGAATCTAGGGTTGAAGATGCAAATTAAAGACCTTGCACACCATAAGAAACTCCAGCATCCTCGCTTCCACCCTGCTGATTCTGAGTGTGAAATCTGTCCCTGAGCCACAGTCACTGAACCTATCTGAGCCCCAAAAGTTGAAAATTCTATAAATCCTGTTCTGTGTGGACAAGTGACAAATAGATGCTTCCATCACTATTTAGGAGGTTCTACCTTGACTTGCAGGAGACAGAGTTTTGATCTCCAGTGTGGAAGGAATGGGAGAATATATCTTGGTCATAGTACTATTCTCTGTGTATCCCAAAATAATGAAGGAGGAAGGCTACTGCACTTTCATATTTTCATATTTTTGTGTATTTAAAGCTACATTGTAATTTGAGCTTTGATATATAAAGGAAAAATATTCAATGGAGCTGGCTTTGCAATCACAAAGAGCCCTCTATAGACATTTGCAGATATAAGCCACTGATTTTGATGTGACAGGCTT